CGTTTCCAATCCTCAACGGTCCAATCAGCGTGGGCTCATGCGAACTCCAGCCTATCGCGCATATTTTTCTTCGAGAGTCGCGGCTTCTTCGGCTGCAGGATTGCAACAAGGCCGCTAGATTTGAGCGCATTACACACCGTCCTAGGATGCACCGTAATGCCGTGCTGGGATTCGACGGTCTGGGCCGCATGCGATGAGGTTTTTGCCTCGCCGCTAGTAATCGCCCTAACGATTTCACGACAAATTCCATTCGTGATTATGCGTGGACGACCAGTAGTGGGCATTGAAGGACGCACATCCTCGCGACTAGACTCTGAGAGAAACTTGAGTCCAAGATCATGTACCGTGCTTTTTCCTACGCCAAGGTCCTTCGCGATTCGCCTCGTGCTATACCCTCTCCGCAACAGTGTTATGATCCGTGCACGACGCGCCTCATCTATCGGTCTCATCTCGGCCTAGTCGAAGCCTTGGGTATAAGCTCTTTCCTGACTAATCGAAACTCATGGGAGAAACAATGGAGATTATGCGGCACTAGAAAACAGATCTAGTCCGCTGCTTGGCCGAAACTGTCCGGATGCACTCACGCGACTCAAATCTTGTCCACGCTATTAGTGCGACCCACTCAATTTGCAAAAGTGTTATCTCTATGCAGGCAGCACTCGTAACTTACAACATAGCTTCGAAGTCTCAGCGATACCTCATTTAAAAGCATTCAACCCCGTGTTTGAACCTAAACTGGACTTATCCCGGGCAATACTTTCCGCCACTGTAGTAATGCTACTTCATATAGTGTTACATTTCACTTGGTCCAGCCCCTTGCTGAGTTTGTTTCGAGTCCCTTCGTCGTTGGGGACTCTGTGGTGGTGTACCACCAACCTAGACCTCGGCTCTTGGGGCATGTAGAGGCTGAGAACCATCTCAATCTCGATTCTTCTTGCTAAGGTTGTACTTTTAAGACTATAGTGGCTGCTATACCTCCTGCCAGTAAAACCGCCATACCATCGTCAAATCTTCATGGATTTTCATGATTCAACTTGCTGCTGATAGGCGAGAGAAACGCACTCTACATCCAATTTTCAGATCACCGTTTAAGCAGCCATCAGATCGGTATCAATATTTGAAGCCGTCTGACGGAAATCTGACTATGGACAATTTCTCTCATTTTCGGCACATCTGAGCCTATTGTGATTATAACAAGTGGTATCAGAGCCTCTTGGAGCCATTTCGACCATGCCTAGATCTGGGAAAGCAGTTGGCAAAGGTGTTGGAGGTAGAGAAGACGCCCAAGTACAAGGCCAACACCAAGATCCACCCATTGCTCCCGTGTAACCTAGCCTTGGCCCCTCTAGGGATGAGCCTAGAGTGTTTGGCCTTAACACGTTCAACGGTGACAACTTTGCTGAGTGGTCCTTCAAGATGGAGAACATCCTTGACCACTATGATCTGCTGGAGGTGATGGAAGAAATGGAGAAGCGCCCCGAGAACGACCCGGAGAAGAGCCTGTGGGTGCGGAAGAGCGCACAAGGCTATCTTCTACTTGGGCAAGCGTTGGGGAGCAGCCAAATCCGCCACATCAAGCCTTTTCAGCGTGAACCAGCAAAAGGACCAAAGGCATGGGCTACTCTCAAGGGTGTACACGCTCCTGCAACACCGGCGGTGGCTGTGGTTTTGGAGCGACAAATGGCGGCACTTAGAATTTACGAAGACTAACCGGTGGAGGAAGGAGTGCAGAAATTCTTCGACTTGTTGACATGGCTCGAAGGAGCTGAGCTGAACTACAGTGACCTTCAAAAGAAGACCAAGCTGCTGGCCTTACTTCCGGACTCATGGTCCTCGCTCATCATCAACCTAAATCGAGATCTACCCCGCCTCTCACTCGAAGATGTGAAGCGGGAAATCTTACAAGAAGATTTCCGCCGTCGCGAATTGGCAGGTCCCGATGGTGCCGGAGTTGCAAGCATGGGCCGTGGGCACGGCCGTGGAAGGGGCAGAGGGCGAGGAGGCAGATTTGGCAGCAGTAACTTCAATGGAGGCCGTGGTAATGGAGGATATGGCAGCAACAACAACAAGAATGGCTACGGGCGTGGACGCCGTCAATTTGATGGCGAATGTCACTTTTGCCACAAGACCGGCCACATGTGGAGAGATTACTTCAGATTGCCTGATGGATGGACCCCTTCTCAAGGCCAAGAGGGCAGAGGAGTAAGGGGAGGAAGAGGCAGAGGTCGTGGAGGCCATGGTGGTCGTGGAAGCGAAGCGGTAAGCATGAAAGGTGGAGACTACGAGACGGGCCCGAGTGAAGATCGATACCCAGGCCAATTCTTTTTTGTCTCCACGTAAGCGGCAGCTGCAGCAGGAGGTGTGGAAGGCTTTGAGGAGCCAGCTACTGTGGGAAAGGTCACCCTTCACTCTCTGGACTTTTGGGTGATCGATAGCGGCGCCACCTATAGCATGACACCTTGTGCGGACTTGCTCACCGAACTCAAACCGTCGTCGGTCAAGCATGTTACATCGGCTTTGGGACAGCGAGCAGAGATGAAAGGCATGGGCAAGGCCATGTTCAAGCGTGCTGATGGGAAGATGGTGGGCCTCAAGAACGTGCTTTGGGTGCCCAACCTCGCAGCCAATCTGATTTCCATACGGCGTTTGCAAAAGGCCGGCATGGACACATCTTCCAAGGGCTCCAAAACATATACCGCGAGGCTTGGTGAGCGGAAGCTTTGGGACCTTCATGAGGACAGGGACATCTACAATGAGATGTGGAAAATCCCAGTGGTCCCCATGCCTAAGGGGAGGCAAGTGGCAGCAAGCATCAGCACCAAGAGTGAAGCTGTTGGTGGCGGTGATCACGGAAAGCAAAGTGACACTAAGAGTGACTCGAAGGATTTCAATCTTGGAGAGACCAGCAAGGCGTGTGAACCCAAGGAGAGTGGTGCAGTTAAGTTTTGGACTTGCACTAGAAGAGAGCTAGAGGGCGGTTGTATGAAAAAAGGGCCTAGGTCTCCAACGCAACTCACTAGGTAACTAGGGTCGTTTGCACTGGCGGGCATGGGGTACCAGCAAATGTGGGAGTTTAGTCGCACGTTCAAGCTACCTTGTCTGGCTAGGGCAACCTTCTATCGGCACCTAGGAGGGGAGGGTGGACTGTGGAAAGCTATCGTGCGTGAAGTGGAAAATTCGATGGAGGACGTGAGGAGAGAAATAATTAGCAAAAAAGGCATAGCAGATTACGTGAGTGTTGACGGATGGTGGTCGCAGGCGAGGGAGGGGGAGTGGTATACAGTATCTTGGATAGATAATGCGTCTCGAAAGATTATGTACATCGTGAGAACAAGAAAGGGAAAGCATGATTCCTCTTCAGTGAAGCTTGAGCGTATAGCATTCGATGAGGGTATGGACGAGATGAGGGAGATGGAGTTTCCCATCATGGGGATAATTTCGGACCAGGGGAGTACATTCAAGGGAGCGGCGAGGGACAGGGTGTTGAACCACCAAAACGATTGGTGGCACACCAAACAGTCCATGTACCAAGGGTTCAAAGCACTGCAAGATACAGTTAAAGCAGTGGTGCCGGTCAGGGACGTAACCTAGATAGAGGAGTTATGGATTTCGAGCATAGAAAGTCTCAAGCGCTAGCTTCGGGATAATAACTTTAAAAGAGAGGCCAGAGAGTCCCTGAAAGAGACGCTCGTCGAGACGGTATGTAAGAAGATGGGCAAGTTCCCCTACAGGTTTATGCCTCCCAATGACGCCAAGTACTTGTACCCGGAGCTTCGCAAGGTCATGCCGATTGACGGGGATTGAGGGCTTGTGGACGTCCCTGTCACGTGTGAGGGGGACGGCCGCAAAGAAACAGGCAAAGAAGGGGGGGGTTGTTCGGAAGTAGCAAGCGCGTCGGAGGAGGGCGACACAGGGGCATTCACAGGGGAGGTCACGGTTGAGGTTGATAAATGTGTAGTGTTCTATGGTGTAGTTTGCTCTAGCTGGTTGTGGGCTATTGGGATTTGGTCAAAAGAACTTGGGTTAGTTGGCAAGGTTTGAACTCGTTACCTTTCCAACCCATACAACCTCAAACCCACTACAACATCTTTGATGTTGCAGCTGTGGCACTTGAGAGTGTTGGGGTTTGAACTAGGGCAAGGGTTGGTGGTGTTTGACAATCACATACTCGAACTTTTCCAGATTTAACTGCTTCCCTTCTCGTTTTTACTAGGTGATTCATGGCTGCCTAGCCAAATTACCAGAATATCCCCTCACACTGATTTCGTCATAATCCGCAGCTCAGATCTTGGTTATGAACGTGCTTTACCATTCTGGAAATTAGAGATTAAGACCTTTCCAACGCGTATAAGCTCATTTCTAGAAGTTACCTGAGCTGCACGCAATGTCCGTTGAGGTCGTCAGACTTAATCTCTAATTAGTTCTCTCCAGATTTGCACGATTTCCATCAGTGGTATCCGAGCCACGGTTAGAGGACGTTCTTTCCTCCATTGGAAGAGATCTAGAGAGGCTTGAAGTGCTTCAGATCTAGGGTTTGACATGGCCCAAAAATTGGATGGCCCTCCTAGGTTTACCGGCTCGGACTTTTCGCTATGGAGGCTCCAGTTCACACTATGGCTAGGTATTAAGGACCTAGAAAGTGTGTTGGATGGATCGGAGAAGCGACCACGAGCTGACTCTGGGGAGGCGTCTACTGGAGCAACCAGCCAAGTGGGATCTGGGGCTGGGGGAGCGTCGTTGAGTGGGGGGAATGAAGAAGGAACCGCTGCAACTCGAACCGGAAGGTCGCAACCAAGTCGCGAGGAGTTGCTCAAACCTCAAGAAGCATGGGATCGGAAGGATCACCAGGCATTTCAGTACCTGTGTTGGGCTTTGGAGGGGCAACTTGAGCTTCTTAAGATGCTGATTGACCTGAAGGGGTAGGAAGGTGCAACAGCTGCAGCTTGGAAAAGAGTGCAAGATAGGCACTTGCAGAAAGGGCTTCTAAGCGTGCTTACTTGGCGGAAGCGGTTTTACACCATGGAGCGGAACTATGGGGAGGGGGAGACCATGGTTCAGTATCTCCAGAGGGTGGATGAGAATGTGAGGGCTTTGGAGGAGCTGGATTACACGGTAGATGAGAAGGAGATCATCTATACTGCACTCCAAGGGTTGGATCAAGCCGCTAATGAGGCATTACTACAGTACCTTCACCTCGAGCAACAGAAATGGACCAAGGTGTGGATTTGGGAGGTTCTAATTTCTGATGAGGCTCGCAAAGTTGATGCTGGAAGAGGCCTAGAAGGAGGCATGGGTGCAGCAGATAAAGCTTTCTTCAGGAAAGGCTATCAACAGCAAGGAGGTGGGGGGAAGAAGAAAGAGTTGGACGAATGCCGTGTGCCCGGATGCAACAAAAAACACTCTTGGAAGAGTTGCTGGAGTAGGCCTGAGGGATGGAAGCCTCACGGCTACTCTGGAGAGGTCCCACCAGTGACCAAACCTGATTGGGTGGAGAAAAGGATGAAGAAGGGGCTCTGGAATAAGAAGGGCAGCAAGGGAGCAACGGCCGCAACTGCTAAGGATGAGAAGGGGAAGGGCCAAGACAACTCCTCCGATGATGGTTTCTCGTTTCTCATGCTAGGGCAGGATGCAGCTCTCGCTGGTCGTGCATTGGCTGACCCCAAACTTCCTGGTTCTAGACTCTGGAGCAACATCTGGGATGCTTCCTCGCTGTGATCTCTTCACCTCCTAGCATCCTCTCCCACCAAACTCTAGGATCGTGATTGTTGGGAGTGGAGATTTGCTGCAGGCAATTGGCATCGGCACGATCACCATTAAGGGGGAGGGGGAGTTAGTGGGTGTGAAGGGGGTCCTTCACGTCCTTGGTTTGGCTGCAAACCTCCTTTCATGCTCGCAGCTGGCTAAACAGGGATACATCTGCACTTTCACTGAGGGAGGGTGCACTGTTAGAAAGGGTGAAGCTGTGGTGATGGAGGCAAAGCTGGACAAGGGTTTATATCTTGTTCCAGCTTGTGTGCCTAATTGTTACAAGGCACATATGGTTTTTTTCTGAGGAAGCCGCTAGTAGCACTCGCTAGAGGCAGGTGGAAACGGTGTCACCTGAGTTGTTACACCTTCGCATGGGGCACGCGGGGAAGTAGCAACTACTGGAGTGTGTGAAGAAGAGGGAGCTGAAAGAGGTGGAGGTCAAGGAAGGAGCTGGGCAGCAGAGAAAATGTCCTGACTGCACATCTGGAAAGCTGCCTAGAACCTCATTCCCTATCTTCTCTGATCATGCCTCGACTCCCCTTGAGCTTGTGCACACGGATGTGTGTGGATCGATGCAAACTCCTGACCGGGAAAAGGGCAGCAGGTACTTTGTCACCTTTCTTGATGACTTCAGTCAACTTAGCTGGGTCATCTTGGGGAAGACCAAGGATGAGATGGCAAAGGTGTTTAAGCGGTGGATACGCTGTGTGGAGAGGGAGTCAGGGGCCAAGGTAAAGGTGTTAAGGTCCGATCGGGGTGGAGAGTACCTTGGGAAAGAACTTCAAATCTTCTTGGAAGAAAAGGGTATTTCCCACCAGCTCTCTGTACCTTACATGCCGCAGCAAAATGGGGCAGCGGAGCGGCTTAACAAGACCTTGACCGATTTGGCTCGGGCCATCCTTGCCCATGCCGAGCTTGATAACACTTGGTGGGGGGCAGCAGTGCAGTATGCCAACAGGGTGAAGAACAGGATGGGCAGCAAGGGGCTTGGAGGCAAGAGCCCATACTCCTTATGGACAGGGAAGGTGCCAAATGTTTCCATGGCACGAGTGTGGGGGTGCATGGCACAGTATAAGGTACCCGACCAGCAAAGGAGGAAGCTAGATCCAAAGGCATTGTGGGGGATCTTCCTTGTGGTTTCTGAGAGGAGCAAGGCTTGGGTGCTATGGAGTGTAGCTGACCAGCGTGTGATGGAGAGCCGTGATGTGATTTTCCATGAGGGGCTGAATTATAAGGGGTGGAAGGAGCGTGGTGCAAGCCATAGTGGGACTTCCATTCAAGACCCTCATACGGCCTCTATCTTTGAGGGGGCATGGAAGGACCCTGGAGATGAAGGGGAGGAGCAGCAGGAGGAGCCAGAACCAGCTGATTCTAACCATGAGGAGTCCCGAGAGACAGATTCTACCCCTCAGCCAGCCACGCAGGCCGATGCGCATGATGATCAGCCGGAGCAGCATGTGCCTTCAACTCCATCGAGAAGCAGTTGGCAGCAGTTGTTGAACCAGCAGCTGTCCAAGACTCCGAAGACTCCAATGAAGAGGGTGACTTGGGAGGAGAAGCTGCGGAGGCTGGAAGAAGGGGAGGCAACACCTCTGCGACGCAGTGCTCGAATTTCCCTGCCACCTGAAAGGTTTACCCGAGGCACATTGCACTCATGGATGATCATCTTGTGTCTGATTTGGATGATTGCATGCTTGTGGACATGCATGGGCATGAGTATGCTCTTGATGTGTGTCTAATGGGTCAGGTGCATTAGCCTAGGTCAGTCCATGAGGCGCTGAACCGTCATGAGTGGGTTGAGTCCATGCATGAGGAGCTTGAGTCTCACAAGGTAAATGGATCATTTGAGCTGGTTGATCCAGCAGTGGTACCACCTGGTTTGGAGGTCCTCAGGTGTCAATGGGTTTGGAAATACAAACATAACCCTGATGGTACCATTGAGAGGCCTAAGTCCAGATTGGTGGTGATGGGAAACATGCAGAAATTGGGAGTACACTATGAAGAAGTGTACTCTCCAGTTGGGAAGCATGCGACCTTGAGAGGTATGCTTGGAATTTCGGCTGCTTTGGGGCTTGATATCCATCATATGGACGTCAAGACAGCCTTCCTCCATGGGGATTTGGAAGAAGGGCTTTACATGCGGCAGCCCTCTGGTTTTGATGATGGGTCTAACCGAGTGTGTCGCCTCAAAAGGTCCATTTATGGGCTGAAGCAAGCCCCACGACAGTGGTACCTGAAATTTGATGAGGCTCTCATGGATTTTGGGTTTGAGAGATCTGAGTGTGACCCTGCCTTGTACCACTTTGTGAGAGATGAGGAGAGGATCTCCTTATTCCTCTATGTGGATGACCTTTTGCTCCTATGCTCTAGTACGGCTTTGCTAGATCGAGTGAAAGACTTCTTGTCCTCGCGTTTTCGCATGAAGGACTTGGGGGAGGTGAAGTACTACTTGGGAATGCAAATTGAGCATGATGAGAGTGGTATCTTGATTCATCAAGAGAGGTACATTCTTAACATGCTTCAGTTCTTTGGTCTTTCAGAGGCCAACCCCGTGCGTACTCCTCTCCCGACAGGCTTTGATGTGCATGCCTATGAGGATGAACCTTTGCTGCGAGATGAGCTGGTCAAGCTCTACCAAAGCATTGTGGGATCCCTCATGTATGCTTGTACTACCACACAGCCACAGATTGCATTCGCAGTCTCACAGCTATCTAAGGTCGCCTCTTGTCCTAAAATGTTCCACTTGCAAGCCGCTAAGAGAGTGCTGAGGTACCTGAAAGGTGGTGTCAAGTCAGGTATCTTCTTCAAAACACAGCCCCAATCTCAGGTCCAGCTGGTTGGCTTCAGTGATGCCGACTATGCTGGAGATTCCGCAAGTCGCATGAGCCACAGTGGGTATGTGTTCTGTCTGAATGGGGCAGCTATCGCTTGGCAGAGCAAGAGGCAGCCCGTGGTGGCACTCTCTACCACTGAGAGTGAGTACATAAGTCTGTGTCAGTGCATTCAGGAGGGTGTGTGGCTGAGGCGTTTGTTTGGGGAGTTTGGCAATGCTCATGCTGGTGGTGTGCCTGTGTTTGTAGACAATCAGTCTGCCATTGCCCTTGCACAGAATGCATGCTTGCATGGCCGCACCAAACACATGCAGGTCTGGTGGCATTTCATTCGGGAGATGGTGGCTGCGGGAGAGGTGATTTTGCAGTGGTGCCCCACCAACCGTCAGGCTGCTGATATCCTTACCAAGTCTCTTCCATTTGAGCGCCATGGTGTGTGCATGACCTTGCTTGGGATGCAGCCCCATGATGACAGGGTTCCCGCAGCAGATGCCGGCGTCTTGGTGCTCCTCTCCTTGGCGGACTCCATGCTCTAGGTGGCCCCAACCCATGGGCAAGGGGGAGTGGTGTGAAGTCTTTTGCCCTATGGTGTTGAGCCACACCCAGCATGAGCAAAGGGGAATTATATATGTGTAGTGTCCTGTGGTGTAGTTTGCTCTAGCTGGTTGTGGGCTATTGGGATTTGGGCAAAAGAAATTGGGTTGGTTGGCAAGGTTTGAACTCGTTACCTTTTCAACCCATACAACCTCAAACCCACTACAACATCTTTGATATTGCAGTTGTGGCACTTGAGAGTGTTGGGGTTTGGTCTAGGGCAAGGGTTGGTGGTGTTTGACAATCACATACTCGAACTTTTCCGGATTAAACTGCTTCCCTTCTCATTTTTACTAGGTGATTCATGGCTGCCTAGCCAAATTACCAGAATATCCCCTCACACTGATTTCGTCATAATCGGCGGCTCAGATCTTGGTTATGAACGTGCTTTACCATTCTGGAAAGTAGTGATTAAGACCTTTCCAACGCGTATAAGCTCATTTCTAGAAGTTACCTGAGCTGCACGCAATGTTCCGTTGAGGTCGCCAGACTTAATCTCTAATTAGTTCTCTCCAGATTTGCACGATTTCCATCAGAGGTGAAGTTTGATGATGTGATAGAGATCTAGGGCTACGATGCTCATTCCAGCCGAGGGATCCGACTGGACTCTGGGGCATCATCTCTCATGGTCCATGCACTCACTGGGGGTGACGAGTGTGCGCACTTCATGGGCGGGGCGATGCCATGGCAGGAGATTCCAGCACCACCAGGTAAGCGATCCCCTTTGAATTCAAGTAGGCAAGCTCGTCCTTCTCTATCCCTCTTTCGTATTATGACACCAACCTTTCTTTAAAGCAAGGGTATCAAGAAGCAGAAAACCAAATCCAAAGGTTTTGGAAACCCAACTGTTATTGACCAGGTTTCTGCTTCTTGAGACCGGGAAACCCAGCATTTCCTAAACCTTTGGATTTGGTTTTCTGCTTCTAGAGACCCTCGGTTTAACCTTTGCCACCCTCGTGTGTAGACGGAACAGGTGGGCCACCACCTAGCGATGTCTCCGCACCCGCTGCCGCCTCTATGCCAGCTGCAGCAAGTGTGCCTGTGCAAGTCGTTGATGGCGGGGTTTTGCCCCGCTGGTCCGAGCGCAAGAGGCGGAGAAGGGGTGCGGCTACCAAAGGCGAGGCGGAGGTGACACTTGCGCAGCGCCTCGTCATCCACTTCTATCATGTCATGATGCGGTCTGGGGTGTGCAAGCGTGACGAGAGACCAATAACTCCTAAAGTGGTGTCAGAGGAGATCTGCATGGCTGCTGATCATTGGGCCGGACTTCATGCACGCTGCGACCGAACAGGTGTTGTGCCCCCACGTTGCGTTACGGAGAAATGGGGGTTGTCTGAACGTGTGTACGCACCAGGGTTAGCAACTCACAAGGCGGTGTCAGAGTGGTTACAAAAACATTATGGCGTCGAGCAGGTGAAGGTGTTCATTCATGGAGCTACTAGTTCTCTGAATGAATCTGTCACAGGATCGAATGACTCGAGGATTGATTGCACTATCGATCAGTACAAGGTGCTTTTATACGTCCAGAGTACATCAGGTAACCAGGTTTATCATATCCAAAGGAATAGACCCTTCTAGAATATAGAATCACCCTGCGTATAGCCACGCGAGGCCATTGGCTTTAAGGGATTACGGCAGGATTACGCTGGATAATGTGCCAGTACATCCCAAGCCTGGTCGGTGATATAATTATAATAGCAGGATCAACCAAAGGATAATGGAAGAACGGAGAATAGGAAACCAAATGAGATGAGATAAAAAGAAGAATGAAATAGGAAGGAGATAAGAATAGGAAAAGTGGTGTAACGGGGTAGTACTCTCACACGTCCCCCCCTCAAAGCTGGGTGGTAGAAGTAACACCCTGCTTGACAAGGTAGGCATGCAGAGGACGACGGGCGTTACCCATGTCGGTTTCAGAGACCCAGCTGTCATCAGAAGGATCATAGCCCTTCCAACGAATAAGAAGCTCCACGGTGCCATTCCGACGTCGACGATGTGCAAGCACGGACTCGACCTCGTACTCGGGTTCGTTCTGGACGAGGACGGGCGGCGGCGGCGGCGGCTGGCGTCCCACGAAGATCGTGTTAGGATCCCGATAGGGCTTCAGAAGTTGGACGTGGAAGGCGTTGTGAATCTTCCAGGTAGCTGGCAGGCGTAAGCGGAAGGTAACAGGGGTAACCTGTGCTTCAACGAGGAAAGGTCCGCAGAAGCGAGGTCGAAGTTTAGATGGGAGGTGGCGGATGTCCAGGTTGCGGGTGTCGAGGAGCACCTGGTCTCCCACAAAAATGGTGTGGTCGTTGCGATGGCGATCGGCCTGGCGCTTCTGTTGCTGTTGAATGTCAAGGAGGCGCTTATGGGTCCGATCCCAAAGTTGATGCATGGTTGTGATGAAGTCGTGTGCAGGTTGGACTGTTGCTGATGTTGTCGGTTTCTGTGGTGTGAGTGGGTGGCGTCCGTAGCAGAGGAAGAACGGCGTTTGTCCAGTAGCGGCATGTGTGGCGTTGTTGTAAGCAAACTCCAGAACGGGCAGGTGCAAGTCCCACTTGGAGATCTCGTCCTTGCAGGCTGCTCGGTGGAGTTGCTCCACAATCTGGTTAAGGCGCTCGGTCTGTCCGTCTGTCTGCGGATGGTATGCGGATGACATGGCGAGTTTGGTGCCGAGCAGAGACATGAGTTCCTTCCAGAACTTGCTGGTGAACTTAGGGTCTCGGTCGGAGATGAGTGTAGTTGGAATGCCAAGCTGTGAGATGATGTAGCGAACGAAGAGTTGTGCTGTCTCCTCGGTGCGTGCCGTCGTGTGTGTCGGGATGAAGTGTCCCATCTTAGAGAATTTGTCGATGACGACAAGAATTGCGTCATGACCGCTAGTGGTAGGTGGTAACCCGGTGATGAAATCCAAGCTAACCACTTGCCATGGCTGTTCTGGGACAGGAAGAGGCTGTAGCAGTCCTGCCTTCTTCTGCTTACTGCTTTTCATCCGTTGACATGTATCACACGAGGTGACGAATTTTTGAACATCATCTGCCAAGTGAGGCCAGTAGTAGTGTTTTGCGATACCGGTCAGCGTCTTGTTGCTACCGAAGTGTCCGGCGTATAGGACGTCGTGGTATTCTTCGAGTAGTAACTGGCGCAAAGGAGGGTAATTGGGTACCCAGATTTTTGTTGATCCTTTCCGGTACGCGATGTCGTTGCCCCACTGTAGTAGATGTCGTTTTTCTGCCAAGGGAATTTCGGGGTCGATGGTGTACCCGTGTGTGAAGAGTCTCTTGAGTAGTGGATTCATCCCTTCGGCCTGAATAGCGGAAACGTGTGCAGGCCGGCTGAGGGCGTCTGCTTTGTTTTTGTGGCCGGGCTTGTACACGATGTCGTAGTGGAAGTGTGTCTCGAGGAAATCAATCCACCGGACCTGCCGCCTGGAATGGGTTGGTTGTGTCTTCAGATATTTCAGACTGCAGTGGTCGGTGTAGACTGTTGTTTGACGTCCTTCGAGATAACATCTCCATGCTTTGAAGGCGATGACAATAGCAAGAGCCTCTTTGTCGTGTATCGGGTAGTTGAGTTCTGCCCCGTGCAGTTTCTTGCTGAGGTAGGCAATTGGTTGCAGTCCATTCCCCTGGTCTTGCATCAAGACTGCTCCCACGGCCTGATCACTGGCGTCTGCTTCAATGACGTAGTCACGTTCGGGATCTGGCAAGGTGAGCACCGGTGCGGATGTCAGTGCTTGTTTCAGCTGCTCCACGACTTCCTGGTGCTTTGTCTCCCATTTGTAGGGCGTGTTCTTCTTCAGCAGATTCGTAAGTGGTGCCGCGAGTTTCGCATACTGTGGCACGAACCTGTTGTAGTAATTAGCGAAGCCTAGGAACTGCTGCAACTCCTTCACGTTCTCGGGTGTCTTCCACGTACGTACGGCTTCGACTTTCTTGGGGTCGACGTGAACTCCTTGAGCGCTCACCAAGTGTCCTAGAAATTGGACCTTCTCCAGGGCGAATTCGCTCTTGGACAGTTTGACATAGAAACGTTCCCGTCGAAGAATTTCGAAGACGCGTCGCAGGTGTTCGACGTGCTGCTTCATGTCGCGCGAGTAGATGAGGATGTCGTCCAGGTTCACCACCACGCATTCGTCCAAGAGTGGGCGTAGGATGTGGTTCATTTCTGCTTGGAACGTCGCTGGTGCGTTGGTGAGTCCGAACAGCATGACCAAATACTCGTACGATCCGTACCGAGTTCGGAAAGCAGTTTTGTAGATAGAGTTGTCCGCCATCCGTATCTGCCAGTATCCGGACCGCAGATCCAGTTTGGAAAATACCGTAGCTCCCCGAAGC